AACTGATGCTTGAGGATCCTCAGGCCCGGTCTTCCTTCTTCCCACACTTCCCTTCGTGGTTGTCAGACCTGCACCCTGGTGGAGGCGCTCCTCTTCTTCACAGGAGTCCCCAGTACATCTCTTGCATTTCCATCTCCATTTTCACATGTGCCTTCCTGATGACCAGCCTGATCAGAGAAAGACCACAGTATGTGTCAAATTCTAGGGGACCCACAGAGTCTCTGTGACTCTGGATGGACAGAGCTGTGAAATCTTTCCATTTCATCTTCCTCCCACCCTCTTGCTTTTGGCTCAAAGGAGGCGGGCCTGGATGCAGCACACTCGGAGACACGGGGCAGTGTAAGTGAAGCTTACCAGAGAAAGAGCCCCATCAGTGTGGAGTGGATGCATTTGTGGCCACTCTCCTCTTTGGAATTCATACAGAATTCCATTATCGGCTCTGGACAGCAGCTCAGGGACCATCACGTCCCATGCCCATTTGACAGACGGGAAAGCTGGAGCCCAGAAGGGTGAATCAGGCTCCTGACACCTGGAGCACTGCTCGTTCCTGGTCCCCTTCGGTGATGCCTGTAAACAGGATGTCCCATCCCCTCTTTAGAAGTGCAGAGTGCAGCTCAGGACAGCTCTGCCAGCCCTGGGGTCACACAGCACTGAGATTCACAACCAGAGACTAGTAATTACTCTCCCTCCTGATAGGCGGGGAGGGATGAAATCTGGGAGATATCAGAGCAGACTAGGTAGGGCGGGAAGGCGAGCATGCAGCCCCCCCAGCTGGACCACACTGCAAGCTGGGGGCTTCTGGGAGGCAGGCAGTGGGGCACACGGATATGGGACCCTCCCCACCCCAACTCCTCTGCCAGTCACTTCACCCCCATCTGTAGAACATCCCAATGATAGAGCCTTCTCCCATGAGGCCATGGTGAGGCTTAGATGATGAAAACATGCAAATAAAAATAAGTCAACAATTATCAAGTTACTATGTGCCAGGAACTGCTCTGAACACTTTACAGGTACATCATAATTTAATCATCACTGCAACCTTGTGAGACAAGCCCAGTTAATATTCCCATTTACCAGATGCAGAAACAGAGGCACAGAGAATCACACAGCTAGGATGTGGCAGAGCATGAGTTTGAACTGACAACAGGTTGACTCTCTAAAGCCCTTGACAAGGCCAGTTTCTGTGAAGAGCAAGTGTTTAGAACAGTGTCAGGCATGCAGAGCTATTCAGTAATGTTGCTGTTGATATAATAATAATTATTATTGTTACTGGGGAAATTGGCCACTGGCAGTGCTATATTCCCAAAAGTCAGAAGAATGAATATCCTAACATGTTTTACAAAACTGTATCATTTCTTCTCTTTAGAAGTAAGGGAGTAGTTAGCAAGTGCTAAGATAAATGCTTGTTGAACTGAAACATTTTATGGTCTTTTTGGAAAACACAAAAAGAAGGGGAAAAACCCACAGTCTTACCACATTCCTTTTTTTTCTGTGCATGTTTATTTTTATTTTGGTTCATAGTTGTGAACATGCTGTGAGAGATTTCTGGATTCTGTATCTCTCACTTAACATAATTCCATGAGCTTTTCCCCATATGACAATTTTTAATGGCTGCAGAATATTCCATCCAAGAAGAAGAGTTGTCTTCTTCACAACTCCCTCCACATTTTTTCCAGCTTGGGGTTTTTAGTTTAGTTTCTGACGCTTCAGAATAAGTTTCCTCCTTATTTGATGTGACTTGGAGAAATGAATTCCTAACACTGGATTTTCTGAAACCAGTAAGCCAGTGTTAGGGGAGGTTCAGGAGACAGAAGGCTCTTATCAGTGTCCTGGTGATGAAACCATGCCAACTGTATGTATTTCATCCATGCTTAAGGCCTCTTCAGCCCCACAGGTATTTTCGTACCCACCTTCTGGACTAAAGGTTTCTTCTCATATGCTAAATGGGCCAATTCCACCTTCTAGCCAGAGGTCAGAGAACTAGGATCTTATCTGCAACCTGACACTAGTGGGTTGTAGGACCTTGGATACTTCACTTTTGTAGGGCCTCTGTCTGTCAATTCAGGGGTGAATAACCTCTGCAACCTGCCCAGTGAGGAGACTTGGTGAGATAGAGTTCAGTCCCAACTCTGTCACTAAGTCACCATGGACCTTCCATATCTTGTGAAGCTCTTTGGGCTCAGTCTTACCATCTCTTTGGAGGAAGCTGGAATGGTAAAACCATCAGGCAGGCAGAGGTGAGCTCATGGCTACCCTCTTGTCTTACTCACTCTACTGGACCAGGCACTACTAGAGCACAGAGATCCCAGGGCCCAGCACAACTCAAAAATATGGATACACCATGAATAACTATCATCACCTTTCTCTATTGCCCAAGCTCATTCCTGTCTCAGAGCCTTTGAACATATGAAGCCTCTACCTGGAACACTCTCCCCTTGGCTCCCACCAAGGCTGGCTCCATCTCACCACTAAGTCTTGGCTCAGAGGTCACCTCTCCCAGGAGACCCTTGTTGGCCACTCTGTCTCTGTACCATCACACTCCACCATCTCATGCAGTCTTATGTTCCTCACAGTGCTGAACAACTATTTGAGAGTATATTGTTGACTTTAGTATTTCCATGTTCAGTGTCACCTCCAAGAGAGCAGGGACAAGGACTGCCTAAGTCACCCCATATTCCACAGAACCCCACAAACATGTAATAAATGTATCCTAGGTGCTCCAGGCACAACTGTACATATAGAACCCACACGTATTGAGCACCTACTATATGCCAGGCACCATTCCAAGCCTTTTATATAAAGCAGCTCTTGTAATGCTCCCAACCCCTGAGCTGGCAACAATTGTTATTCCCATTTTATAAATGGGGAAACTGAGGCACAGAGCAGTTGAATAACTTGCCCATGTTTCCATGGCTAGTAAGTAGGGGAGCTTGGATACCCTACCGCACACTGTCAGAGTGTGCTGAGCCAAACGCGGCACAGAGGCCCTGTCCTCACAAAGCCTACAGGCTTAATGGGCAAGCTGGCCTAGTACACAATGTACGAAGTCAAGGACACTTCCTAGAGGAAGTGATTCCTGAGCTAAGTCCTAAGAACAACTAGGGGTGTGCTAGGATGAAGTGGGTGAAGGACAATCTGAACAGAGGAAACGGTGTGTGGAGGCCAAGAGACAAGCAAGAGAGCAGCAAGCCTGAAGTAGGTTTGTGTGGCCAGAGTAGGGAATATAGCAGTGTGCCATGAATCAAGGGGTGTGGTCACCTCAACTCACAGTGACTGGGGTTAAAAAAAAGTCCCAGGCAAAATATGAGGCAATAGGGCTGGAAAGTTGGGAAGGGTCTTCAGATCATGCAAGGCCTTAGAAAGATCAGGGGCCCAAATTTTACACTGAGGTTTCTAAGCCACACCTCAAAGACTATGTGAGCTTCTGACTCAGTGGTGCCCAAAAGCCATGAGGATCTTTGGAAATTTCTGCTGACTCACTGTGGGACCTTAGCCACCTCCATACCCTCTCCAGGTCTTGTCTGCCAACTGATACTGGATGACCCAGTCCCAAAAGCACATCCCCACTCCACCAGCCTGGCATCTCATAAACAGAATGGTGTTTACCAATGAGATCTTGGCATTCCTAGAATCTGACTCTGGGACTCTGGTGCACTGGCCATCCCAAACTGCTGAGGCCAGCCCACCACCATGGCACTTTGCCAAGCAGCCTCTGGGCAGGGGGTTGAGTTCTGCAGCTCCTTGCTCCTGCCAAGATATGGAGCTCCCCAGGTTTCAGCTGGGTGGGGGGGGTCCACTCAGATCCTCCCGGAGACAAAGGAGCTGACCTGCAAAGAGTTCCAGCAGGAGCCCTGCTCCCCCTCCCTTCCCCCCTCTCCCTTTCTAGTCCACGTGTCTCTATTGTCTGCTCCCCGCTTCAGGGAAAGACACAGCCTCCTCGGATGTGTCAAAACCACCCCTACCCCCCCAGCAGCAGGGAAATTAATTACTGGACGATTTTCACTTCCTCTTGCAGCGCCTGCCTGAGCAAGGCACCGGAACAGGACTGGCTGAGCTGGGCTGGGCATCGGCATGGGGGACTTGCTCCCCCGACCAGTTCTGGGAGAAGTTGAACCCGAAACCCAACAGGGAGCTTCAGTGGGAGGCCAAGCTGGGGTGGGGGTATGACTTCCTGTAGTTGCAGCTGAGTGTCCACACTGGTCACTGCAGAACTGGGGGAGAGGGCCGGAGCCAGGAGGGGGCTCCGTTGGCAAGCTCACACTCTTTTCTTTGCATCCCCTTGCCTATGTCCCCATGTGTCTGAACCCCGCCTGCTGGGACCACCTCCCTCCTCTCCCCTTGGCTTCTCCCTCTTTCTTGCACTTTCCTTTCCCTTTCTTTGCATCTCTGGGGGGCTTTCTTACTGCCCGTCTGGATCTCTTTTTCTCCCATGGGTGTCTGAGTGTGTGTTCCTACTTCTCTCCATCTCTTTCTTCTCTGGCTCTCTCATGTGTCTTTTTGTCCTTATATTGGTCTCCCTGCTTCTATTTCTATCTCTTTCAGCGTGTTTCTTTCTCTGTATGTCTCTGTCTTTCTCTGTGTATCACCTCTTCTCTCTTTCTCTCTCCACCCCCACCCCCAACTCCTCTTTCTCAGTCTCTGTATCTCTGTGCCTTTCTCGCCTTCACTTTCTCCCCTCCTGCCTGCCCGGGGCTCCCTGCGCCTGGCCTGCCCCCACCGCCGCCGGTTCAGGGGAACGTGTGCGGAGCGATTGTCCTGGGGGACATTTGATGGATTAGAGCGCTGAACAGTTCCATTGCTAGGGGACCACCTGATCTCCTCCAGCCTGCGTCCCATATAAAGCCGGCAGCCGGAGTGCTGAGCACAGCTTCAGCGACCGCCTGTCTGCGCGCCGCCGCCGCCAAGCCCGAGCGGGAGCCAGAGCCAGAGCCGGGGCCGCCGCCACCGGTGCCGGCTCCGCGCTGCCGCCCGCCCGCCCGCCCGCTGGGAGCTGTCCAGTGCTGAAACCCCGAGCAGACAGCCAATCGCGCCCGGCTGGCCGCCTCCCCCCACCGGGGCCCCACGCAAGTGCCCCCGCCGAGCCCCCCGCCAGTCGCACCATGCCGCGCTCCTTCCTGGTAAAGAAGATCAAAGGGGACGGCTTCCAGTGCAGCGGGGTGCCGGCCCCCACCTACCACCCCTTGGAGACGGCCTACGTGCTGCCTGGCGCCCGGGGGCCGCCCGGGGACAACGGTGAGTAGAACCCCGTCGGGGAGAAGAGGGGAGGGGAGTTCGGGCCCTCCCCAAAGCGGGCCTCGAGGAGGGGTGCGCGAGGTAGGGAACCCCCGATAGATTTCCCTGGCTGTGGCACCTCATGGGCTTCCCGATGGCCCGGCGGGCGGGGCAGGAGATAGGTCCGTACAAAGGGAAAGTCGCAGGGTCGGCGCATCCCACAGCCACGCGCCAGCCTGGACTTTGAAAGTTGTGGCCCTAGAACGGCGCTGGAGTGAGGGGTGCTGAAAGAATGAAGAGAGAGAGAGGCACCCATGAAAGGCTAATGCTGGGGGACTAATGCAAGAGGCAGTGTGTGGGTCCCCAATCCCTGTTGAGGGAAGGAGGCTGGCTGCCTGAGTATGGTCCCCTGATGGGGAAGGTAAGTGGCTTGGATTACCAGTCCCTGGGGAGATGGGGTTGGCTCCCTAGGTCTGGTTGGGGGCACCCTCCTTCCCTTCAAGCCTGCTCCCCTTGGCCATGCTGGACAAGTGTTCTCAGGCCCCCTTTCTCAGCAACTCTTTTGTTACCCTCAGCCACATGCCTGCCAAAGGCTATGCCTGTCCTGGGGACTTCAAGGAATGGGGGCTTTCCAGAAGGGGATCCCCTAAAGTGGCTCCTGGTCCCCTGGGCTGCACTCCCTCCCTATTCCAGCTTCTCACCCTCTTCCGGAGCCAGCCCTGCTATCTCTTGTAAGTCCCTACCCCAACCCACTCCATCTCTCCTCAGAGCAAGTTCCTGCAGGCACGAGGGTTTGGGGGACAAGAGAGGTCATTCAGGCCCAGAAGGGGGGGATCTCCAGAGGGTGTGAAGAAGAATCAGAGACTGCTTCTGTGGACTCTGTCTCCCATCAAGGGATCACAAAAGGGTTCCCCTCTGATAGCCCCCACCAGGGCAGAAGTCTGGAGAGGAGGCATCCCTTTGGCAGTAAGAAATCTAACATCATGTGTGGCATCACCTTTGGGGTGTGAGAGAGAGAAGGGAAGAGGAAGGCAAAGGGTAAGGGAGAAGAGGAGAGAGGAGGAGGAGAGAAGAAAGGGCTAAGGATGAGGGGCAAGGTGAAATGGCCTGGGAGGGCGGGGGCTCCTGCCTCAGGGATTTCCAAGCACTTCACCCACATTCCATCACTCTGACAAGCCAGGTAGCAAGAGGGGGCTGGGTAAAGGGCTCTGTGACCTCATCAAGGTCAAAGAAATTAGGGAGTGATCGTGGATATAGCTACAGCCCCTTGGCCCCTGGCCTCTCCCAGATCCCCAAGAGAACATATCCCTTTTCTTTGCCCACATGTCTCTTATTATACTGTCCTCTTTTCTTGACCCCAGGGCCTTTTGGGGTCAAGGACAGAAGCCCAGGGATATGGCTGGGCTTGTCTGAGTGCTGGCAGGACAGAGGGTGGACCTGGGGCCATGCCAGGGCTTGGGAGCATGTGTGCTGGGATTTGGGTAGAAACTGAAAAGCCTGCAAGATTGGAATGTGGATCCCTTGGGGACTTACACAAAGCCCTGGGCTCCTATCCTCTAAGGCCCCCTTGGTGCTGTCCCCAGCTAGCTGAGGAAACCCAGAGAAGCCCAGAGAATTTCTCATGTACAGCCAACACTGCAGACTGTTTCTCAGGAGGAAGGCAAGAGTGCCTTGCCTTGAATTTAGTCCAAATAAGCTTTGAAAGGAGCCCCTGAGTGAAGGGTAGAGTCAGGGCAGAAGTAGGGCAAAGCCATCAAGCAAGAGAATTTCTGTGGAGGTTCCACCAGGTTTGACACCCTAGAACCACCCCTATATTTGGTCCTTTTGCCAAAAGGCTCCAGACCAGCTCCCTGAGGCTATCCAGATAATTTGATATCTGGCTCAGACAGAATGCTGGGAGGCCTGGGCTCTAGATCTCTGACCTGCTGAGTGACCTTGGGCAAGTGCCTTCCCTTTTCTGGTCCTCAGCCTCCCCAGGAGTGAAAGAATTCAGAAGGAACTAAGTATCTTTCCAACTTTGATAAGATTAGCTTCTATGAAGATCAAGTGTTGGGTAGAAGGCACTGGAGATGCCTGGATGAGGGTCTAACAGAATGCAGGGGGCTATTGTCAGGGTTTCTGTAGGATATCCAATGCCTGGCTGAAGACGGCAGAGTTTCTGAGACCAGGCATTTTCCTTGGCTTCAGTCTCTGCAGGCTGCCTCATGGTGAGGACAGGTATCCTGGCCTGACCACCTTGGCAGTGTCTGCAGTAGATGGGTAGTGCTGGAGACCAGGGGATGACCCTTTCAGCCTGGGTTTGGCCAAGAAATACAGGGTCTGCTTTATCCTATTTTCAGGGGTATCTCCCATCTCTGGGGTGTGGCCAGACTTGGCAGTAAAGGCTCCCTCACTCCACGGGTGGGTAGGGGTGCTGGGGGTCCTCAGAGAGCCTGCCAGCTTCTAGTAGCCTGTTGTCTCCGCTCTGCCGGAAATAACCTTGCTGAGCGTTTGAGGGAAGTGTGAAAAATTGCTGAGCTGACGTTTTTCTCTCCCAGCGTGTGTGTAAGTGTGCTGGGTAAACAAGGAGAAAGGAAGGAGGGGGGGAGCTGAGGAGAGTGAGGGAAGGAAGGAGGGAGGGAGAAGAGAGGCGGGAGGGGGAGTGGGGAGGGCCTGGAGCTGGAGATAGTTCCAGTTATTAGAAAGATCCTCTTACAAGCCATTCCTGCAGCAAAGGCTGCAGGGTCAGGATGAGGCTGGTGAGAGGGGAATCTCAAAGGAGGGTGGTGCAGGGAGGGGGAACTGTGAATGTGTAAGCCAGGGGATCCACAGGCTCCTAACTGCTCAAGATCCAGTACCCCAAATTAAAGAGGTGTATCCCCAGTCCAGGGAATGCCTGGGAGTGCTAGAGAATTCCTGGAGGACGACTCCTACACACACACACACATACACACACGAGCAATGCTCTTCTTTGCTTCCCTATCTCTTCCCTTCATTTTCAGCCTTCATGGGCTGGGCAGAGGGTGTAGCAGGTGTGTCTGGGCTCCAGGCTCCCTGCCCCTGAACCCCCAGAACCCCTGATTAGGGAATGGGAAGAAGCTCCCCAAATGGGGAAAGCTCCAAGTCTTTCTGCAGAGCCCCCAAAAGCAGGGAGACCAGATCTAATTCCACTATTTTGTCTGATATGCCTCTTCCACGCCTGCCCCGCTGGCTCCTCCACTGTTTCCTGCCTCCATGGAGCCTTACTTTCCCCTCCTTTCCCCTGGGTGATTCAGAGCACACATTCAGTCTCTCAGTGAGATGACAACCGACATCCTCCTAACCCTCTCAGAACCCCACCCTCCAACTCCATCGAGCCCACTCCTTCACAGGCCTGGCCCCACCCTGGGAGGAGCTGCGGACTTTTAGCCATCCCAGAAAAGGCTGCTGCCCATCCATCTGCAGGCAGCAGACTCCATGGACCCAGCCGAGGACATCTTCACTGATCCTGGAGTGCCTACCTGCCACACACCCTAACTCTGAACCCCAGCTGGGGACCAGGTCCCCCTTCCCCTGACCCCCCTCCCTGGTCTTGCCCCCATACTCCTTTAGTGTACATTCCACCCAGGCAGATGAGGGATCAATGCCAATCCAATAACACAGTTGTCCGCTCTCTGCAGCTACATTAAGTCTCCTCAGCAGACTGAGGAAACACTCACTTCTGCCCATGGGCTTATCTAGTTGACCACATTACACCACCAACCACTTCCTCTCACTCCCTCTGATGGCGCCAGGGAGTCACTCCTGGCCAGGCCTGGGAGCCTGCCTGAAAGTACCCAACACATTCACCCCACACCTCAGATAGTCCATCTGGGGAGCAGGGATGCAAAAGGCCTCACCAATCCCTTGGCAAAGACAGCCCAGAGAAGGCTGGAGAGATACCCAAGGACACACAGCAGGCCCATCTTGGTCTTCTTTAATCACCACCCTCCTTAGTATCTTGGTCTTGGGCCCAAGGTACAGGTTAAAGACATGGCAGAGAAACAGGTTTAAAGTCCAGTTCCAATGTCCAGGTCCAGATCTGAGGTCCAGGTCCAACGTCCATGTCCAACCTTAGGTCTAGGACCAGATCTGAGGTCTAGGTGCAAGGTAAGTATACCAGGTTATGGGGCCAGTCCGAGATTCATAATAAATCCATGTCCAAGTTCAAGTTTCAACATCCAGGATCAGATCCAGGTCAATGGTCAGGGTCCCAGATCAAGAGCCAAGTCCAATTTCTAGTCTAAGGTAATGTCCAGGGCCATTCTCAAAGCTGTCTGGATTCAAGTCTTAGACCCACCATTACCTTTCTCCATGGTCTTGGCCTAGTCTCATCCTACCCCAGCCTCAGCTTCCCTTTCATGAATTCTAGCAGTTGAACTTGATCTCTTTTAGCTCTGACCTTCTATGGACCCAGAAATCTTTTTTTCCTAAGAATTAGTCAGTGGAAGTGTGGAATAACAGGGTCCCTGTGGGATATGGAAACCAGAATCCATGGTTCCCCACTAAATACTGGGTCACAAGGGAGACATGAGGGGCCCAAGCTGAGCACCAACTCTCTGGACAGTCTGTTTGTGGTTCCTGAGGCAAGGCAGGAGAACACATCAAGTCCCTGTGTCAGCACAGCAATTTATTCGTCCCAAAGACTCCCCCTGCCGACACACACACTGGGCAAAGAGCAGTAAGCACAGAGTAGGATTACCTCTAACCTACAGAGGCAAAACTAAGGACAGAGAGGCCCCAGGACTTGCCCAAAGTCATAAGGACATAAATGGGAGACTCTGTCACACCTCCCTGGTAGGTGCTTCATCCACACATTCAAGGGACCCCCACAGCCTGGAGGCCCTCTGCAAGGCATGGCAAGATACTGCTGAGAGAGATGAGGTCCCCAGAACTCTTGGCCTCCATCCAGCTCTGGTCTCCTCTGGAGTGGAGTGTCATGTCCACTGCCAGCCTTTGGTAGGAAGGGAGGTTAGAATGGGCCCTCTGTGCCCTTTCAGCACAGAGAAAGCGTGGGCAGAAAG